GCCTGGGTGGCGCAGTCGGTTAAGCATCCGACTTCAGCCAGGTCACGATCTCGCAGTCCGTGAGTTCGAGCCCCGCGTCGGGCTCTGGGCTGATGGCTCAGAGCCTGGAGCCTGTTTCCGATTCTGTGTCTCCCTCTCTCTCTGTCCCTCCCCCGTTCATGCTCTGTCTCTCTCTGTCCCAAAAATAAATAAATGTTGAAAAAAAAAATTAAAAAAAAAAAATAAAAGGAGAAAAGATTTAGATAATCTAGGGTTTATAAAATAAAACTCAATATAATTAAGAGAAACATCTAAAAACCAATGAAGTTTCAGAAGGGATTAAAGCAAAACGATAGGCCCAAGTATAGTAGCTCTACCCATTTGTTATATGCCACACAAATATAAACAAAACAGGAAGCTGGCAAGTTCAACGTTTCAAAGAGCACTAAAAATAACAATTTTATCACAAAAAGTATGAAAAACTGTCTGCCAGAGAAAAAAATAAATAAGTCCAGTAAAATCAATGGCTTGCGTAAGTATCAACAGTAACTAACTAGAAAGTGTAAGTGGGGGAAAATGTCATTCATAACAGTAAGAAATATCATAAATATGAATTATGTGGCAAGTTATAATACTTTCCTGAAGACCTGAATTTTAAAAATTCTTCCTTTTGTCAAAATGCCAAATTAAATGCTAAATTAATCTCACAAGCATTTTTCTCTTCGATAGAAATGATTTAAGGTCTCCTGAAAAAAATATTATGTAAACAGAAAGGAAATAACTGAAAAACAAGCAATGAAGATTATAAAATGCAGTGAAAAGTAAGAGTCATCAAAAACAGGGTAGTAGTGAACAAGGAATAGGAGGAAAAAAACAATCACTGGAACAGAAAACAAAACCCATGGTTACTTGGAAATTTAGTTTATGACAATCAAGGCATTTCAAACCTGCAAATAAAGGACAAGAGTCTGTAATAAACAGCTTTGGGAAACTGTCCAGCCACTTGAAAAAGAAAAAACCTAGCTAGGGCTCTCCTTCACCCCTTAGAACGAAATTGTTCCTGATGGGTCAAACATATAAACGTTGGAAGAAAAGAAAGGAAAAAACTAGAGGAAATTACAGTTAAGTAGTTTTAGAACTGTCTAGTAGAAAAGGACTACGGAGAAAGAGGGGAATAGAGAAAGCAGGACTGACAAATTTATCTAGGAGGAAAAAAACCACTTCCACACAGAAAAGGAAAGTATCACAAGAGCAGAGTATGAAGAGAGAAGACAAACTGGAGAAAACCTGAAAAACATATGAAGAGTCACTATTCTCAAAGTGCAAATGGCATTTAAAAATTGATAATAAAAGACAATTTGGGAGAATTCAGTAAAACATAACTATAGGCAAAAAAAATATATGAAAATGATCAAGTACTAAAATCACATTATCAAACATTTATTGAACTTCTATATTATTCTTCTTGGGGAAAGAATTTAAACATTAGTCAATCTTACATATGAATGAACTCTGACATAAGGTCAGCAGCTTTTCAAACAAAGGAATGAGAACTTCCTACCTTTCATTAATTTATGGTTCCAACAATTAATCCCTGTGTGTTAAATAACATCATATGATGATATATGTTTCTTTTTTATGGCTTATTGAGAACTCCGTATAGTAGCATTTTAAAAAACACATTCATTAATTCATTATATGAACAATACTCAGAAGTAAGTTGGTTGAGTGTCTGGCTTCAACTCAGGTCATGATCTCACAGTCCGTGGGTTTAAGCCCTGCTTCAGCCTCTGTGCTGACAACTCAGAGCCTGGAGCCTGCTTCAGATTCTGTGTCTCCCTCTCTCTCTACTCCTCTCCCATTCATGCTATCTCTCAAAAATAAATAAACATTAAAAAAATTAAAAAAAAAGAAGCTATATTCTCAACTCAAGTAAACTGTGCTAAAACAAGCCCTCACTGAGGGCAGAGAAGGAATGAACATCTTTATTTCCTCCAAGAACTCAACTCATTCATTATTTGGACTATCACCGTCCCCTGAACATAACTGGAATATTTATTCAAGTGACTCCTCCAGAAGAGGCAAACACTTGCCTAGTTCTGTTCTATTCTATTTGTGTTAGTGACATCACTGGAAATCATTTATTACTTATTAGATAAAACTTAGTAGCAGAACTCTCAAAGAATATCACAACAATTTCTAATACCCAGGGGGAAAAAAGGATACTGTGCCTTATTTGAAGCTTATTTTCAAAGCGTTGCAGCATATGCTACCCTCAGTAATATCTCTCTTATGAATCATACACTTAATGATCAAAATATTGTATTTGAAATGCAGAAACATTTTATATGCTCAAATTAAGAAACTGATGTAATTACAGTCACACAATTATTCTACATGTTTAAGTTTATGAAGCAACAAATGAACAGATCACCAAATATTCACCTACCCGCTCAAAAATTACTACTCTTCATCCCAAAGACATTTTTTGTAGAATTAGAAAAACCTATCCTAAAATTTATATGAAATCTCAAGGGACCCCAGATAGCCAAAACAACCTTGAAAAAATCAAAATTGGATGATTCACACTTCCTGATTTCAAAACTTACTACAAAGCTACGGTACTCAAAATACTGTGATACTGGCATAAAGACAGACATATGGACCAACAGAATAGAATGGAGAATCCAGAAGTAAGCCCTTGCATATATGATCAAAGATTTTTTGACCTTCAACCAAAAAGATTTTTTACAAGGTTGCTAAGACCATTCAATGGGGAAAGGGCAATCTTGTCAACAAATGGTGCCGGGAAAATGGATATCCACAAGCAAAAAAACCAAAGCTGAACCCTCACCCAATACCAAATACCAAAATTAACACAAAATGATCAAATACTTAGTAAGACTTAAAACTATAAAGCTCTTAGAATAAAACATAAAGCAAAGCTTACTCACACTAGATTTGGCAATGATTATTTGGGCATGACCAAAGGCACAGACGACAAAAGAAAAAATAGACAAACTGGACTTAACAAAAATTTTTAAATTTTATGTACCAAAAGACATGATCAACACAATGAAAAGGCAACCCACAGAATGGAAGAAAATATTTTCATATCATTTACCTGATATGGGGTTAATATCCAGATTACACAAAGAACTCCAAAAACTCAACAACAAAGAGACAAACCAATTCAAACATGGGCAAGGACTTAAATAGACATTTCTCCAAAAACGATATACAAATAAGCAAATGAAAAGATGTTCAGCATCACCAATCACTACAGAAATGCAAACAAAAGCTACAATGAGGTACCCCCATACCCATTTGGATGACTGCTATAACAAACAAAACAAAACATAAAAATAACAAGTGTTGGTAAGGATGTAGAGAAATTGGAACACTTGAACATTGTTGACAGGAATGCAAAATTGAACAGCCACTGCAGAAAACAACACGGTGGTCCCTCAAAAAATTAAAAATAGAATTACCATATGATCAAGCAATTCCACTTCTGGGTATACACTCAAAAGAAAAAAAGCATGTATGGAAGAAATATTTATATGCTCGTGCTCATACAGGAGCATTACTCACAACAGCTAAAATGTGGAAACAACCCAAGTATCCATCAATAGATGACTGGATAAATAAAATGTGGTATATACATTCAATGGAAATGTTTAGTCCTGAAAAGGAAGGAAATTCAGACATAATGTGACAACTGGATTAGTCCTGAGCCTTGACACTATAGTAAGTGAAATAGGCCAGTCACAAACACTCCAATACTGTATGATTCCATTTACATGAAGCATTCGGAGTAGGTAAATCACCAAGACATAAAGTAAAATGGTGGTTGCCAGAGGTCAGGAGGAGGACGGAAATGGGAAGTTATTATATAATGGGTATAAAGTTTAAGTTTTACAAGATGAAAAGAGTCCTGAAGATGGATGGTGGTGATGGTAACACAACATCATGAATGTCATATTTTATAACACTGTACATTTCAATGCACTTAAAAATGGTTTTGATGCTAAATTTTCTGTTATGTGTATTTTACCACAATAAAAAAACTGGAGGGGTGCCTGGGTGGCTCAGCCAGTTAAGCGTCTGACTCTCAGTTTTAGCTGAGATCATGATCTCAGGGTTTCGTGAGTTCAAGCCCCATGTCAGACTGTCACTGCAGAGCTGGTTGGGATTCTCTCTCTCCCTCCCTCTCTGCTCTTATTCTGCTCACACTGTCTCTGTCTCCCTCAAAATAAATAAATGAACTTAAAAAAAAAACTACTACTTCTCTCATTAGAAACTCTTAGGTTATCAAAATAACAAAATTATTTCATGTTTTACAAAGTTTTGTTTTCAAAGCAAATAAGTCTGTTTTTTTATTTTTAAATTTTTTAAAGTTAATCTCTACACCCAATGTGGGGCTTGAACTGACAACTCCGAGATCAAGGGTCACCTACTCTACCAACTAAGCCAGCCAAGCATCCCTATTCAGTATGTTTTAAAGCAAACAGCCTTCTGATACACGGAAGTGTTGGGAAAAAAAAAAAAAAAAGAAAAAAGAAAAGCATTAGGCTAACACCAGAATTATTAAACATAAATCAACCAGCCAAGGTGTAGCTGACATATAAAATACCATTATCCTATATATTGTCAAATATCTCACCCCATCAATGAATACTTTCTTAATTAAACTTTCATAAGAGCTAAAACTGAAGTTCAAATATTTCACAACCTTAAAAAATTACTTTAACAATGTCAATATGTCTTCCAATTTTTGAATGTACACGTTTCAAATTTTATTTCACAACAAACTTCACATCAAACTCATCTTTAACTAACAACCTCCAATGAGATTTAATGTAACCATATTGGAGATATTCTACTGCCCTGACAACATAAAGATTTCATTCTTGGAAGAAGGGAAATAAGGAAAAAAATATAAAAAATGTTTTTTATATTTATTTATAAGCTACACTAGAAAAGTGTTCAAAAATTGTCTTAAGAGTTTTAATACATACCAGGCTCCAATTTGATAATTTTTACTGCAGCCAACTCTCCTGTATGAATATTTCTAGCCTAAAATGAAAATAAAAATGTTTTTAAGTTTGTTAATTATATAAAAGTATGTGACACTATGTTCACTAATTGCTTAACAACCATGCTTTTAACAGAACTAAAAAACAAAATCTTTATTTCCAATAAAATGAGTATATTCATTTTTGCATCAAAGAAAAATATAGAAAAGATACACACACACACACACACACAGAGTTAGTGACCGTTAGTCCCACCACTCAAAAATGGCTATTGTCTTTTCTCTCTTTTTTTAAAGTTTTATTTATTTATTTTGAGAGAGAAAAAAAGGATGTGCACGCATGAGCTGGGGAGGGGCAGAGAGAAAGGGAGAGAGACCATCCCAAGTAGGTTCCATGCTCTCAGTGTGGAGTCTGATGTGGAGCAAAGTCACCAACTGAGATCATGACCTGAGTGGAAACCAAGAGTTGGATGCTTAACCAAATGAGCCACTCAGGTGCCCCCAAAATGGCTACTGTCTTTTCTTTATACTAGAAATAATATTTTTGTTAATTAAAAAATACTCATTGTTTTTATATATTCTGTAAGTATAATAATAGATCATTATGGGAAAATCTAGAAAAGCAAGTCATCCATATCTTACTACCCAGGAGAAAAAAGTTAACATATAGATAGTGTGCTTCCTTTTTTGCCCCGTGTAGATGCATGTGTATGTGCTGTAGAAGATGATGCCATCACAGTTTTCTACAATGTGATTTGTAATGCTGCATAATTTTCTACTGACGGGATAAAGACTGTATTTCAGTAATCTCCATCTGAACATGGAGAATTTTAATATTATTCTGTAGTTATAACTAGAGAGATTAATATATCTTAGCTTTGTATCTATCCACAGCCTTATTTCCTTTAGATAAATTGCTAGAAAACAAACTATTCACTACTTAACAAAATGTCATGCCAGACTTATTATAAGTAGTGCTGCAATGATTAGTGTGCAAATATTTTGGCACATATCAGAATTTATCATTGAGGCAACTTACAAGTGTAACTGTTCGGTCAAAGGTATGTGGATTTTAACATTTATTTACTTTTGAGAGAGAGAGAGAGAGAGAGAGAGAGAGAGAGAAAGGGGGAAGGGCAGAGAGAGAGAGAGAGAGAGAGAGAGAGAGGGAGACACAGAATCTGAAGCAGGCTCCAGGCTCCATGCTGTCAACACAGAGCCCGATGCAGGGCTCGAACCAACGAACCGTGAGATCATGACCTGAGCCGAAGTTGGATGCTTAACCGACTGAGCCACGCAGGCTTCCCAAAAGGTATGTGGATTTTAAATGAATATATTGCCATATATTGTTTTTATAATATATGAATTTATACTCTCACAAACCTTGGATGTGAAATCTGTATCTGTCAAGTTCTACTGTAGGTACAAATTTGTATTCTGTCTTTAAAATATCTTTCTCCATGCTATACATTACTTTAAACGGCCACATAATAGTCTATATAATCATTCTCCCTTATTGCTAGACATTAAGAACGCCACACGTAGTCTTTTCATTATTTAAGGTTATTTTTTTCAAATGGATTCTAGGACTGGAAATTAACTAGGTCTAAGGGTATGAACATAAGCATTTAAGGCCAGGGGCTCTGGGGTGGTTCAGTCAGTTGGGCGTCCGACTTTGGCTCAGGTCATGATCTTGTGGTCTGTGGGTTTGAGCCCCGTGTTGGGCTCTATGCTGACAGCTCAGAGCCTGGAGCCTGCTTCGGATTCTGTGTCTCATTCTCTCTCTGCCCCTCCCCCACTTGTGCTCTCTCTCTCTCTCTCAAAAATAAATACATGTTAAAAAAAAAAAAGGCCATTTAAGGCTATCAACGCATACTGTCAAAATAGTCCAAAAGCATTGTACCATTATGTTGTCACTGTGAATATGAGTGCTCATTTTCACTACACCCTGTGGCATACCATATGTGGAAATGCACTTTAATAATTTATGACACCTTTCACTTACTATGTTAGAATTCATATGTACATTTTCATACTTAGCATTAAAAATAAGGAAGGGGCATATCATAAAACAGGAATGTAAAATTATACCAATTTGCTGGATTAAATAAGTCACATTATAAGAGGAAAGAGGAAAAAGGAAAAAAGGGAAAGGAAAAGAAGAATGTAGGGAATATACCCTTCAAAGGAATACTTTTAGATATGACATATAGAAGATGAGAAAAATAATAGAATGGGGGAGAGGGGTACAGAAGGAAAATCACAAACAGAAAGGAAGAAGTAAAAAAGGATTTTCTACAGAAGTCTCAAATATTTTGTGACAAGAAGTTCATATTTTCCTCATCTCTCATGGTAAATAGTGTAAGGAGGGGTTTGGCAAAGAGTGAACAGACATTTTAACTCCCCCCATATAATTTACCTCTCCCCCAAACGCAAACGCATTTGGAGAAATGGGAACAGGTCAGCCAAAAGCTTCAAACCGTAACTACCCTCTCCTCTTTCTTGCCCTTGAACAAAATAATTGTCTGTTAGTGTCAGGTCTTGTCCCAGGTCCTAAGATCTTTCAGCATTTCAGTCCTCCCATGGGTTATAGAAAATTATGTGCATATAGATTTAGGCTGTCCACTGCTCAACTTTTCACATGCCAGCAAGATTCCAGTACAGAAAACATGGCCAGAAGTTATAAAATAAGTAGTAGTAATTGACTTCTTGGGAATCTTGTTCAGTGGGTTTTAAATGTGTATTAGAAGACAAATTCCATGATAATGATGCATTATATTTGTAATTTGTAATTATACTTTGGAGGAACTCTCATATTCATTAATTAATTCTATTAAAGACACAGCTCAGTAGAGTTGGGGAACTTGCCCAAGGCTATGCCTGCTGGCCAGGGGCAAGAGAAGGAGTTAGAACCTAGTAACTATATTGTGATGTCAAGGTTTCACTGCTTCTTTCAACAGATGAGAACTTTTTAAATCCAACAGGTACGAGAGGAAAGTATTAATTTCATAATATTTAATAGACTTCAGGGGTGACTTTTGTTGAAAATAAATGAAAATAAATGAATCATATTTTACATTAAATTATTTCCTATAATGGTTTCTAATATAAGAGTTGTGAATTCTTACATATCTGAAAGTCTTAAATAATTTGAGACTTGAATTTGACCCAAGGAAAAATATTATTAATTATTTTAAATAATCTGGAAAAAGCCTTCCAAAATGTTTAAAATCCATCTTAGAGGATTGGGAAAAATATCAACTGACAAGACTCAACTAATTCTTCTTGTAAGGCTATTGCATTATATCTGGCAAACATAATCCACTTTCATCCCTGCATGTTGATACACTTCCTGGTTTTCCCTCTTTCCATATCTAAGTGATAATTTTTCAAATTTCACTGGAATCTTATAGAAAACAGAAAAAAATCTATGGACATATGGTGAAAGTTTACACAGTGGAAAGAAAGATTTAAGTGTAAGAGACATAGATGGCACAAGAAAGTAACATATATGTACACTCACAAAAAATGACAGTTGAACCATTCAAAGTTCTAAAATTCAAGTAAGGAATGAAATGTTTAACTCATGTGACAGTGATAGATGCTGACATATCTCCAGCAACAAAATATTGTCAGGGTATTCATTACTCCAGTTTTCCAAGCAAAACAGGCATTAGGGCAATGCACTCTGCCAGTCACTAGAAACCAAAAGAAAATATGAGCCCATACTTCACAATTACAGACTCTCAAACGAGTGCCAACAGCATGAAAAGATCTAATATGCTTCTCTGTGAGTGTGAAACAATTAATTCTGATTTTAATCAGATTAACCAGAAGCAAAGGACTTGGTCTCTTACTTAAAAACACTGTCCTCATTCTGGTACATTCTCTTTCCCCTGCCCTTCTCCACATTAGCCTAGTTCATTTAGATTTCTCCTTCATGAAGCAATTTAGGTATCACCTCCTCCAGGAAGTCTTGCCTGATATTCCAAGGCTGGATGAAGTATGCTCTCTTCTTAGCTCTGGGCATGATGCTATAAAGAACTGTGCCATAGGCAGATGCTCTAAAAAGTTGTTGAATGGACAATTAAGACTGTAGGAAGATTATTACTCTCTTTACTTAAAAAATAAGGATAAAATATTAAAATCCTCCACACCTAGACAGTGCTACGAAACTGACAATATACTGCTTTAAATGATCTTTTATTTATGTTGATTCATTTTCAATTTTTATTATGATGCATTAAATGAAGTATTTTGGAGAAAAATTTTATTTGTAAAAAAGTACTACAAAGTAATATTTTGTTTTTAAAAAGTCAATTATAAAATGGCAGTCCCTCTCCTCCCCATTTCATCCCCCTGAGGTAACTACTGTTAACAGTTTAGCGTATATCCTTCATGACTTTTAATTAGGTTGATTCTCAAGAACACATATACTGACAGTTTAGTAGTTTCTTACAAAGCTAAACATAGTCTTTCCATATGATCCAGCAATCCCCACTTTTGACATTTACTCAATTAAGTTAAAAACTTAATCCACACAAAAATCTGTACAAGAATGTTTACAGCAGGTTTTATTCATAATTGCCCAAACTGGAAGCAATTTAGATGTCCTTCAACAGATAATAATAAACAAATTATGGTACATTCATACAATGGAATATCATTTAGTGATAAAAAAATGAGCCGTCAAGCCATGAAAAGATATGAACCTTAAATGTATACTGCTAAGTGAAAGAAGCCAGTCTAATACCATATGATTCCAACTACATGACATTCTGGAAAAGATAAACTAATAATACAGGGATCAACGTCAAGATAAAACTCTAGAGAGAAAAAAGAACAATGGTTTCCAGGCGCTGGAGCAGAGAGTGAGGAACAGGTAAAGCACAGGGAGTTTTTAGGGTGGTGAAACTATTCCATGTGAAACTGTAATGGTAGATACATGTCACTATGTATCTGTCAAAGCCCATAAAACTACAACACAGCAAGTGAATCTTAATGTAAAGTATGGACTATGATAGTAGTATATCAACACCGG